AAAAAAAATACTTCTTATCGCCAGCATAAATGCGTAATTATTTTTTTTACAGAAAAAGTAATTTTTCACCTTTGGTTGAGTAACGCGTCGTAGAATGCAGATACGGGCATGCAAAATACACTTGTGAAAAGCTTGAAGTCTGGCGATTCTAAAAATATATACTTTCCCGGGTCTCTTTGTAGTCATTTAGTCACAACTAGAAGATGAAAACAAGTATGCAAATAATAGTCCCGCTACCTTAAGTAAATGCCTTAAACAAAGCTATTAGGGGTACTGTAAATATTCAAATTTAGGAATCATTTTAGGCATCAGATGAGAGTGAAAGGCTCAAAGGCCTTTCGGTCTCATGCAAACACTTAATGCAAAAACAATCTCTGTTATCAGAAATCTGCATTGTGTAATAGCTACACAACATGGAAGTGATTTATCAACAATGCAATCTTTTGGCATTGATTTCAGTAGAAAAACGTCATGTTAATTTTTGTTTGGGACCAAAATCAAGTTATTTTGGTACTTGCTGACTGCTTAATACACGTTTTGGCATGTGGCCACTCGGTCCTGACTCTCAGCACATGCCAAGATATGTAATGTGAATGCCACTAGTGTGTTCATGTGTGGTCAATCGTATGTTTCACATCGTAATTTTAATTCAATCAGTAAATTTGCTGAGAGATTAGAGCATACACGTGTACTTACGCCATTCTGTATAAAGTACTCATTTTACCGTCTAGTGACGACTGATTCTCCAATAAATCATCTAATTCTTCTGTTATGACACCCTAAAATATGGATTGAATAAAAACATTTAATAAATTCATCATAATATATGTGATTCTCTCACAATACAGTAAGACAAGTTTGCAATACACTATTTCAAGAATACAATACACTATTTTTTTATAAAATATTTATGAATTTCAAATGAGTATAACAATATTGTACTTTTCATGAATCTGGAACATTATAAAGCCTACATTTATATAAACTTATCAATTTTTATAAAAACCAATTTTTAAATCTTGGAAGATGCAATTGATTGAAAGAATCAGCAATCCTCATCCATAAAATCCAAATAGTGTGTGGTCACAAATAAACCACAAAGGTCATGGATCTGATGTGATAGAATAATCAAAACTTGTTTTGTATTTATTTTACATTGCTCTCATTTATTTATAAAGGTAGATTCAAATGTAAATGATAGGTTGTGATTTCGCTATTAGTAACTCTAATGTATCAGCCTTTATGCACTGGGCCAATTGCTGATTGGATGATGCTAAGGTCAAAATCACAGTTGCTATGATTGGTCGAACATTTTTTAACTGCCACATTTTTAAATGTTATTTAAATATTTATAAATTAACCATAAATCACATCAATGAATAATCCGAAAAGAGTACCAAAATCTGTGAAATAAATACTATGGAGCAACAGTTATATTTTACATGACAGAATGCAATATTTTATTCCCATGGTATATTGGAGCTAGTAGTCAAAGGAATGACTGATACGGCCTAGCGAATTTTTCAATTAATTGTTACTGTATAGTGCTTAATTATTTACTTGGTTTAAATTTGTGATTAATGCACTGTACACCAAAATATAATCCAGTGAATAATCAAAGCTAACCCTAGAATATATAGTTTTTTTAAGTCAGTGAATTTAAGGCCTCACAAACAATATTTTTTTAAAAATGGGATGGTGAGGGTTTTTTTTTCTAAAATATTTGACACCTGCACAAATTTTGCAGGTTTGATCAATTCGTCAACAAAAACATTCACTGAGTCACCCTGCAACATTAACATCTATAAATCAACTCATTCTGCAGTAGTCTGTGTGTTTATTGGTAGTATCTTATTTTCATAATTGTGATTAACCCCAATGGGACTTCGGAACAGTCGTCTGATTTTGCTTTCTGCTTGCCTATAGATGCCTGTCTGCCATTTTATTCCTTAACTATTTACCCATTTTATTGGTGTAGGATGTAACACATACAAAGTTTTGACAACATTGAGTTTCACTGAAAAAATATGATTTGATGTCACCACGCACCAAAATATTTACTATGGTGTTAACTGGTCTTGCAACTTCTTGTGAAAATTCAATGATGACAGTACTTTGTACATGAACATAAAACTGTCCCTCTATAATTCAAAGTGAAACTACTATCATCGTTAAGACTAGTTTATCACTGTGTGTGTTAGTAACTGATTGACACTCTGCAACGATGGTGTGTCAGCTGCGTGTACGTGAATCAAGTGTCTCTATATTATTATTTTTAATGTAGGGAATTATTCACATTTTTTTTCACTGCATGTTGATGTTTTCAACCGTCCATACCGGTAGTTTTAATTGTCACCAGTGTATTATATCACCAGTGTTAGATTAAATTATAATTCATCAAAAAATCTGAAGATGAAGACGGATGTGTACATCAACATGCACTGCACTAAGTGCATCGACACCATTCATCATGCATACTGTGTTTGGAAGAAAATTCGAACAATGTATTCGGTCATGATTAAATTCTCACCTCATCCAACGCTAGCCTGTCCAGTGCTTTCTGTATATCGTCTAGATCCGTTAAATTGTCCACGTCTTCCCAAGCAGACGTGGCGGAAGCCATTTTGACAACCATTGCCTCTATTAAGCTTCCCTAACTTTGCTCAAATCGTGGAGCTAAAATAACATTCTCATATTTTTAAGCACTCCACGGAACAATAATGCCGAAAATTATTAATATTTAATGTTTTTTTATGCTCTGAGAGTGGTGAAACAAAATGTGTTACTTGTAGGGTCATCGGGTTCAATAATATATTTGCGAGACAAAATGTTTACCCAAACTAACAAAGTTTGTACGGCTAAGGAGTCTCAAATAATCCGCCATTATCGAATTGATGAGGAAAATAGCGTAAGGTCAGTGGCGATTCATATCCTCAAAATCCCAGATCATCCTGTTTTAAATTAATTTCGATTGATCTAGATAACCTTTCTCATATACTCATGTTATTGTTAATATTAAGATTTGTGGAATATGAGTAACGCTTGTACGCGAAAAACAGTTGTTTCTACTCACGTGTACCGTTGTTTACAACCCGGACGTACACAAAACGTTTGGACTCTGCCTCAGTCAGAGCTGTGCGATCTCGTCATTCATTGTGACTGGATATTCACGGCGTTATAGGATAAGCTTTAGATTTAAAATCATTGACATGTTAGTTCTTAAGTACAGTTTGATGTAATGTAGCATCGACATCGGTTAGCTTGCAATAGTTAGTACAAGGATTTTGTTAATATTTAATAAAGAAAGACTCGCTTATGTGAGCCTAATTTCCCCCGAAATGGAGATTAGGATGGGCTTCCTTCTGTATCCCCCTACCCCATACTTTAAACCTAGCCCTTTATACGGCCGTCCACCTAATTATAATATGCCCCTTTTGAGATAACCCATGCTACTTGTCTAGTTAATTTATTAATGATGTGAAAATATTATTGGTAATGATCTTCTATACATGGTTCAGTAATATAATCAACTTGTCATTCTTATTGATAAACCAACCCTCAAAATGAACATACAGTTGGCTGATTGTCTGGTATTAATGCTCTAGAATAAGACCTACATTTGTCTCTCAATCTGGTGGATTTTTCTAATTTGAAGATAACTGTAGTCTCTGTTTTGGATGAAAGTGCGTACTTTGCTGACTGGGATGAATGATAGTAGAGTGTAATTATCGTAACACTGCTCATATTGAAGATGATTACCACATTCTGTATGCAAAATCAAATAAATGAAATATATGAGGATATTTCATGAGTGACCCTCGACTTCAGATTTATTAAATGTCAGTTTAGTAATTTTTATTTGATCCAAGCCTTGGGTGTGAAACAAATGTAAATTACTACACAAATCTAATGAATCTGATATTAAGGGTCACAAATTTAATATCCTGTTTATCCTCTTTCAGCTTCTAAGGCAGAAGTCGTAGTTTGCGAGTGCGTATTCAAAACATTGTTGAGTGTTCATTAGTTAGTTCACGGTATTGTAATTAAGAGGTATAGTTATATTTGGAAGGGGGATGCATTGGTAATAGAATTACCAATTTTGGAGTAATTGGAAACAGTTACTGTTTCACAATCCATAAAGAATCATCACTAGACATGGGTGAAACAAATTTTTGTGCACAGAGAACTTGAGTTTGGGAGAATTTGAAATGAGATCTCGCAAATATACAGCTTTGTGTCGCAACATGTTTCAGCCGATGTCTGAAACTAACAGAAGTGCTAGTATAATTCTTAATAATTCAAGAAATATTTTGTGAAACCACCAATATCCTGAGATATTGGCTTGTTTTGTGATAGTCAACCATTATGTTTAAATGTCAATCTGCTTGCTTGGTCCACTCAGATTTTTATTATATAGTGCAGAGATTATTATGGAGATTAACTTCTTTATTACACTCAACTACCATTATATATTTAATAAAATATTATCTGCCTACTCAGTATTTTTTTTTGATCATTACTGGAAATGCCAAATTGTTTTATTTGGCCTAAGTTTCTGCGTGACATGATTATATTTCTGTTGGATCTGATGTGATGCAATTTTTACAAATTTCACATGTGGTAATAAATTCTTTAGTTTTTACTTGATAAACCTAATTATCATAATCACGTAATTAAGATAATTATGCACCCACATTCTACATCAGTGTCTTAACAATAGATTAAACTATTTAAATTAAAAATGGTACCTTTGCCAACAAAGTGAGCAGATTCTAAAGTCTGCTTTGATATTGGTATTATATAGTATATTATCTTCTTTTTTTCTCCCATAGACTTGACTCTAGGTACGCCAGTTCACCATGTTCCTGTATGCACTGACGTTGCAGCGTGCAACAGGCATCACGCACGTCATACATGGCAACTTCAGCGGCACCAAACAACAGGAGTTGGTTATCTCGCGTGGTAAAATCCTGGAGGTTCTGCGGCCGGATTCAAATACTGGAAAAATCTACACTCTACTGACACAAGAAATATTTGGTGTAGTGAGGTCGCTGGTTGCGTTTCGATTAACTGGTGGAACAAAAGGTACATGATTTTTAAAATGATTTCTGTGTTAGTTCCCATTTGGCCAAAGTCTAAAAATTTCATTCTTTTGTCCGCACCTATATCGCAGAACATGCCTGGGCCAATCATCACATATGCATCATACATCTTGAAATACATATGTTCATGCATATTTCATGATTCAATTCAAGATGGCTGAATGCTGGCCATTTTAGTGCCAACAATCCAACATTTCTGTCGTCCCTGAATCCAGATCTTGATTCTGTAGGGACTGATTTCATTCAAACTTGGTACTATTAAAGTAGAGGGGGGTCACCTGTGTATGCGTTCCATGCGACGATAACATCACACGCTAAAAACGCAAAGGCTCATAGGGAGACGCTTGTTTGTAAACAACGACATGCTGCATGTGCAAGTGACAACTCCCTCACTTGGAGCTTGATGCATTCATTTTGTTTTGCAGATTAGATTCAAAATTAAGTTATAATGAATTCTGTTTCTGTTCTATATATATGACATACCTTGAGTGATCTAATACAAACTATACACATACATCATGTCACACATAGGCACAGGTATGATGATCCAATTCAGGATGGCCAAATGGCAGTAGTTTTAATGTTAAAAATGCGTCAAAATAGAGTTAGAAATTAGATTGCAACCGAAATTATGTATTTTAAGGTAGTAGTTCAGAGTAGAATTGCATGACAGTCGCATTGCATGACAGGATTTCAGGTTATCTAGTCAATACTGATACTATAGTTGCATTTAGGATCTGACATAGCTATGTACTATTAACCATGACCAACTCTATAATCTTCCAGTCAGTGTTACTATAATGCTTCGTCATAAAACTTGTATGTTTTGTTCAATTTGCAAAGAAATCATCAGTGCTAATTATACATTTGTTTGTTTGTAGATTACATCATCGTTGGCTCCGATTCTGGTAGGATTGTGATCTTTGAGTACCTCCCCTCCAAAAACTGCTTTGAAAAGGTAAGTCAGGGGTTGATTATCATTGGCCCTTAGACTGTCATGAGACAAGTTAGTTTAGCTCCTACTGTTGAGTAGGGTAAAACTAACCTGTCTCGTGTAGGTCGAAACCCAGCTCACGTTCCCTGTGACAGGAGGCCAGATAAGGGATTGAATGTCATTGACTACTGTAAAAAACTTTATTTTAGCTGGAATTCATTTTCACTAAAAAGACTTTTTAGGTGTTTTGTATGGCATTTATTTTCACCGATTTTTGACGAGTTCTATGTAAAATATAGTTAAAAAAAAAAAAGATGTATTCGCTGGATTTTATTTTCACTGAATCATCCCTTTAGCGAAAATCAGTTCCAAGTGAAAATAAAGTATTTTACAGTATAACAGTAAACACTGCCAGTTTAGTGAATGTGTTGGTTAAAACTTTGATTACCAGTTTTAACAATCCATATTGAAAATTTCTAATTCTCACAGATTCATCAAGAGACATTTGGCAAGAGTGGATGTCGTCGTATTGTACCAGGGCAGTTCCTTGCAGTAGATCCCAAGGGTCGTGCAGTGATGATTGGAGCAATTGAAAAACAAAAACTTGTGTATATTTTAAACAGAGATGCTCAAGCCAGGTTGACTATCTCGTCTCCCTTGGAAGCTCACAAGTCAAACACATTTTGTTATCATATTGTTGGAGTGGATGTTGGATTTGAAAATCCATGTTTTGCCTGTCTGGAGGTGGATTATGAGGCGAGTCTTTTTCATTGGATTCTGGTTTTGTTCATTTCGTGCATGTGGTAATTGTCATCGACTGATTTAAATATGGTAATATTTCTGCTGATTATTGAAAACCATTGGTGGCCATATTGGTATTAAAGTATTAAATTTTACTACCACTGACTGTCTCTGTTACTTTGTATCCATGATAGGAAGCAGACAGTGACCCAACAGGAGAGGCTGTACAACACACACAACAAATGTTAACATTTTATGAGTTAGACTTAGGATTGAATCATGTCGTCAGGAAATACAGTGAACCTGTAGAAGAACATGGAAACTTTCTCATTGCAGGTAAGAGTACTGTAATTATTGTAGTCTATGACAAAGAAAAGTGATTCCAGTTATAAATAGGTATTCTGAATTCTGGTTTGAAATTTGAATACCGTAAAATACCTCATATAAGCGCCACTTTGATACATTTTCATTTCTGTCTGGCGCTAATTTGAGGTCACATTTTGGCAACTTTGTTGCAAATGGCGCTTAATTGAGGTCAGTAATTTTTTCACACACTCAGAACTACAATAACGTTACCTTACAATCAGAGGAATCCTGTCTATACAATGTACCATATTCTGACGTAAATTCGCCCTTGGCCGTTAAACGGCAGTTTGGTTTTTAAAATAAAATGAGACCAAGAAATCGCGTTTTATTTTTAAAAATATTTCGGCTTCTGTTTTCAGACATTTAAATAATTCTGGACACCTATTCAAGATAATGATTTTTATCGTGACTAACGTGAATGGGTAAGCTTCGTTTCGACAATGAGCTGTTATCACTGTAAACAATGTTAAATTATTCTTCAAATGCTCAGTTTATCTTTCCAAAACAAATAATTTCTTGATTTAAAAAAAAAAAATCATGCCGTTTTCCCATGGAAATCGAAGCCAAAAGATCGCACTACATTATCGGTAAATCTCTTCTGCGTTGC